CTGGTTGTGTCGCTTACATCTCAGGAGAACACGCTCTGCAGTTTGGTCTTTTTCTCCGCACGGACACATAGGGGATTGAACGAGTCGGTACTTTTTGTTTATGTGTGCATTAAGATGTTATGTCCACGAAGTCTGACCATCATTACTTGTTCTGGTCGGTTCAACGAGTGATATGCATCAAGCTCTAGTCTTGGTATTGTATGGGTAGACGATTCCAGAGGATGATTGTGGCCGGAAAGAAGGTGTTCTAGTACACAGATTTCCTACATGTGAGCTGGCTGAGTTATTGTGGGTTGCCTCTTGATGTTCTTTCACTACGTAGCGGGGGCTTTGTTGTGACATCTAAAAGGTCATGCTTGATCTTGTAGAGCATGGTGACTCTAGCCATGTCCCGTCTCTTCTGTAGAGTGGTCCAGTGTAGTGAGCTTACTAGTTCTGTGACGCTGCTCTGATGTGAATTTTTGTTCTTGAATTTTTAGCCCCTCACAAGTCCAAAATTTTCTTGGCGATGAGGGGAGGGGGCTGCTGCCCCATTCAAATCCCCGAAACAGAAGGGGATCTCTCTCCCCTCTGGCTCCCCCTTGATGTACTTTTTTATTTGGGGCGGCGCAGAAAAAGTAGTCACTCTTTTGAACAACATTTCCAAAAACATATTTGGGGCCTACATATGGCATTTTTTCAAAATTTGAGGCCTCAAAAGGGCGGGGTGGGAAAGCCGTCAAAACACGCCTATATGAGGTAAAAGGTTAAGCATGATAATCTAATCGTTGTCTTCCAAGTTTTTTACAATAAAAGCCCAGGTGTCAAAATTGGCCTCATCCCATCTTTTGGACTCAACAACCTGCAGTAATGTTTTTAGGCATTCGCTATTTCAGATACAAGTATTAACTTTGTGATATCAGCTTAAGATTAAGATTTTGTATCTTTTTTCATAGATAACAATAAACTCGTTCCGTGTCATGTAAAGTTTTATATTCAGGTGAGTAATTTCAGGGCCATCACGGTCATCTTGTTGTTTATATACTGTCATTCTGGGTTTAAGCTTTACTGGTAGAAATTAATGTTATATAACATCAGTACTGGTTAGTACTGGTTAGTCCAGGAAATAGAATCAAGAAAACTTTGAGACAGAGTCTTATTGAAGTAATCATAAAAATACTTTGACTTTTTTAAAATGGCCTTGAAGTATAAAAAGTCTTCACCGTAGCCAGTTTCATGTGGTTCGACCGGGAGAAATTAACATTTTATGATACCAGTACTAGATAGTCAATAAATAGAAGATATTGAATGAGTGGGGGTTCAAAACTAATAGTATTGAATGAGTTGAATAAATTATATTATTCGAGCCTGTTGGTCGCCTTTTAAAAGAATAAAGGTATAAGAACCAAAACAAACAAGCATTTGGTCGCCTTTTAAAAGTACCTATGCATATAACGATAGCAAACAAGCAACAAGTCGTCTTTTGAAAGTACTAAGCTATAAGCACCAAAACAAACAAGCATCGGGTCTTGTTTTAAAAGTACCCAAGCATAAGAACCAATACAAGGGCCGTGTTAACATGGCGTTTTCCCGCCGAATGTGTTTGCTCATTGGACGAATGAATATGTAGTAGAGTATAATAATTCAATTTTAAAAGGTCTTTTGTTAATGAAAACTGATGGCTGCAGTGATTACAGATTTGAAACCTGTGTAAAAACTGATGGCTGAAATAACACAGGGCAATAACAAAAAAAATATGCAGGATATCTGGTCGTGTTTTAAAAGTGCTAGTACTTGTTTATAAAAACCAAATAAAACATGCAACAAGTCACCATTTAAAAGTATTGGGTATAAGAATCAAAAGAAACACATCTTCTAAGTTAATAAGTGTGAGATTTATATATAAAACAACACGGTTATATCTTACGGAGATTAATTTATTGTTGACACTGTTATATTAAACATCATACAAATAATTACTAGAGATACAGTTTCTGTTAAACATGCGAGTATACTGCTGTGAAATAAAACCTAAATAATGTAAATATGAAAACATTTGCTGCCATTTTGGGTTTGCTATTTTTTCTCAAAAATTGTATGCCAATGTTACATTAAGATTGTATGTGGTCTTCTAGTGCTATCATAACAATATTTATCTAAGCTTGTTTGTGACAGTAATTCTTTAAACTTATAAAATAGTCTAGAGCTAACCAGAAATGGTGTTAGGTCTAAAAACATAGTCATTACACATTGGTTAGATAGTCCATTCCAACAACTTGGCCACCCCTCTGCTATTTTTCATTAGCCATAATATACTTTTTAAGTTTTTTATTTGCTATATTGTCATTACAAACCTGTAAGATTGTAACTTGTTACAAAATTGTTTCAATATTGAGAAAAATACAACAATAGGAACTCAAGTAATTAGATAAATGTACATGTTTATGTAAATATACAAGCTAATAGATCAGAAAATTTCTATTTAAAAATCTATGTTCTGCATTTTAATATATTTTCAATACAATACAAAAATGTGTAAGATGAAAACTATGACGTTATTAACTTATTTTAACCCATTACGCAATATACAAGCCTTTTAACGCCTTTTTATCCCCCCTTTTTTGTTGTCTCAAATGGTGAAAAAATGCATTATTTAGGCCCCCAACACTTGTTTTTGTTTGAGAAATGTTGTTTAAGAAGTGACCACTTTTTCGGCGCGGCCCCAACCAAAAGATACATCAGGGGGTTGCCAGAAGGGGGATGTTTGGGGGGGGTTGAAGGGGGCGACAGTCCACCTCATCGCCAAGAAATTTTTGGACTTGTGAGTGGCTAAAAATGACCCCAGATTGATCATAAGGTAACGTGTAACCAACGCTGAAAAGCATTTGACTCAATCTCAATCTATTGAGAAGTTGCTGCACTTTGAAATCAATTTTGATGGAAAAAATCAACGCAAAATAGTGATTTGGGGCAATTTTGAGATGTCCCCTCGTTGCCATGGTAACAGAAAATTTAAGCCTGAGCATGTTGTTGCAAATGCAATGGTCCAGTCAACATTTGTGCCAAGTTTGATTAGTATTGAAGCAGTTTTGATAGTATTATAGCAATTTGAACTTGTAACGGGAGACTTTTCAATGAAAACAGCCTTACAAAATGCTCATGAAGTAATGGGTTAAGCAAATTGAAATGATGATTGCTTCCAAATTGTTTCTTTTCCCTATTCCTTCATAATGTTTAGACCAACACGGTCTACAAATAAAATTTTTGTTATATCCCACACTTCAACCAACCCATAGAAAATCACCACTAACCAAGAATTTATCATTGCAAAACATTTGTTTGTTTTGCTTTTGTTACTTAACATTAAAGCAGAAATGGTCTTACGGTAAAAACCGACCAATCCACATGAAAATAATACTTTTGGATAGCTTGAAGAATGTATTTTCCAATACCTGATTCTGCCCAGTACTAGTGTCATTTGAGGAAACTTGGTCATGATCCAAGAAGGGCAGGAACCTACTATCCCTGAGTTGAGAGAATGACACCTTTACCACTAAGTCATCTCTCTCCATATTAACAATTATAAATTTAAATCATTATCCTTAACACATTTTCTATCAGATTTGTCTGCATTATGCCAATGCTATATTACAGCAAGTCACATACTCACATACAGAACGTTTATATTACATAAAGGTAACATGCATTGTATATGATAAAAAAAAGAAATCAGACATAACATCTCTACAAAAATCTATGTATTACAAGCTATTATATTTTCAGTCAAGTGGAGTCACAGAAGAACATTCTAGACTATATTCTTAGTGCTTGATAGTAAAACAAGAACCTGAATAATGTAACAATTTATAGGTTCAAAATATGCCATAATTCTGTCAAAATCCATGTAAGTGTTATGGGCTTTAGAGAGTGACTTCCCTATTATGCTCTTGAAAAAAGTGTGTGAAGTATCAATCCATTCACTTCAATACTTTTGGAGATTCCAACTTGCTTTAAACAAAACTTTGCCAAAGTGTGATGATGATGTCTAGATGAGTACAATAGCTGTCTCTATTCTTTGAGTAGTCAAGCTAATAAAATGCTGGTTAAAATATCATGTTTCATCATCAAAAGCACTATTATTTCCTATTTTATATACATATTTCACCGCCTCCGTGGTCGAGGGGTAAGAGTCGATGACTTCTTATCCAATTACCTCTCTGGCATGGGTTCGATCCCCGGGAGATGCTTTGATAGTTTAGCTCAGAGGAAGGTACACTAGTACTGGTGTAACTCTCCGGGAACAATGGTTAGGAAACTACCCCCCTATATGACTGAAATACTGTTGGGAAAAGGCGTAAAATGAAACAAACAAAAAATATATATATTTCCTCTTATTACCTGTCTCGTAACACTTATATAACCAAAACGTTAATGTAAACAGTATTGTTTAACCTATATGCATAGATTTGTACAACTATATTTACTTTTTACAGTTACTATATGTAAATAAAATGATGTAGCTTTGAATAAGTCTAAAATGAAATCTTTTCTGTTCTAGTCAAATTTATTTATAACGAGTACATAAAATAACAACCAGGAACAGTCACCAAAACTTGTCATCAGGTTTTAAACCCCATTACCCTGCTGGAACTGAAAGTGATTAGCTTTTGCCACTAGTATAGAGCCAAGCCAGCCTGTACATTCAATGATTCATGCAGTATAACTAGGCTCTATACTGTTGACTTACTATAACTTTCTTAATTGAAGTAAACTGTTAACTATTTTTAATGATTGATTTGTTCAGCTTTGTTCAATTTTGACTCTTGAACTATTCACTGTTATTTGTAAGGGGCTTCAAGATCAACGAGATAAAATCAAACATCCACCAGTATAGAGTCTAGTAAGACAGAACAGATATGTAGGATATAATGACTTTATACTGGTGAAATAGATTGAACTTGATTGGCAGTTATTGTCACAAGATATATTGTTGCAAAATCGTTAAAAATGCTAAGATTACAATAAAACAAATTAAAACAATAGATGTCATGTTGCCATGGCAATTAACAATCTAAGTTACAATTTGAACACATTTAGTCAATCATATAACATATGAATAAGTCAATATAAGTATTTCATTTTTAACTACAATGTTTTTCAGTTGTCTCTATTTCGCATCATGCCTTTTGGTTAGATGTTTAAGATTCTGTTTATATTTCATTTCAGAACCAAACACATCGAATATAGCACTAAACACATAAAAAACATGTTTTGAACACACACATGCACATCACAAAATGTGAAAAAAATATATTCCACAATCATGCAGTTTTAACCGGTTTAAGTTCACGATCATGCAGTTTTAACCGGTTTAAGACTGGCCCGTCTTCTCTCAGTATCAAATGCTGCCACTTGCTCATTCCCATCTATCAGGTCAATCAACTTAAGTAACTGGTCATCCCCTTGTACAGTTTTGTTATCAACTAAAACAGAGCGTACTGTGTCCACCAACTCATCAAATTTACAAACTTCAGCATCAGCTTTTTTCCAGTTACTTTCTAGTTTTTGTATTCGTTTTACAGCTTTAGCGCTCATCTGCTCCACCATAGTATCTTTTTCATTCAGCAATGCTCGATATTTCTCCACCTAAAATTATAATAATACATGTATAACATACATATAAGTTATTATCATACTTTAGCTTATAATGTCATTGCCACTTTTGTAAAGGTCACAGTTGATATAAGATTGTGTCTATCAGCTTATAGTTTTCTACAATCAAACTAAAATGAATTCTGTATCACTTAAGTTCATATAGTGATTTTCCAGCTTTATAGACAGAGAAATACCCAAGGTGCACTTAATTTATTATTTATAGCATACGTATATGTGTATGTAGAACCATAAATTTGCTATTTGGGCAGCTTTCACCTAACAATATCAATCAACTTTGTTTTAGTTTTGTAGTTTACTTTTATTCTTTTTAAAGTTTATTTTAAGGTTTATTTTAAATCTTTACAATAAGTCATTTCAAAACCAACAATATGGTAAATCCTTTATAAACTTAATATGTAAGATTTGAAATATTGAAGAACAAAACCTATGCAGAGACGTACCTTCTTTTTGAGTGCTATAACTTGTCTTTGTGACTCCACATCTACAGCAGATCTCCCATCACTACCTGGAGTAGCGGCTGTCTCCAGTTTCTCCAGCAGTTCTGTAATTTGTTCATTCAAAAGCTCGTTCTCCGCTTTCAAACCTTGATTCTTCCCCCTAAGTCTGCCTATCTCTTCCTGAACAAGCTGTGAATATGAACAACAGAAATTATTGAAATGATTCATATTACAGCATTTACGTTTCTTTATGGCACCTGTATTTCAATCAATGATTATAAATGAAACCATGCTGAAACAAATTCAATGACTATATACTCATACTTGGAAAGATTTACTGTCAATTCTAGGAAAAAAATAATTGTAATGAAAAGCTTGTTGACATATACAAGCTAACAAACTGACCAATCAAAATTCAAAGCCGGTCAAGTCAATTTATATGTGAACTTTTCAGAGTTATACAGGACGCAGAAAATAAATTGATTAAACTCATTACAGGACTGGAGCAGTGCCTCTAGACACTTGCAGAAATCATGATCACAAAACAGGGCTTTTTTCAAAGGATGGGGAAGAAAGGCCCTGCAAAATAGACAAATATCGGGTTTTTTTTGCCGATTATTTCATTTTTCATTCATTATCATACATAAATCTGTGTAAAAAGATAAATTAGACCTATTAAAAGTTATTCCGTTGAGTAAAAAGGCAATATTTAAGCATCTTATCATTTAAGTGCCTTGTCCGGTATATACCAGAATAAAGTATTAAGTGTGGTGCTCCAATCCATTGTTTTTTTGGTCTCACTCATTCTAAATTACATTAGAATGTCAATTACCAAACATTTCCTATGCAGGTCTTTAAAAATAGATATAGATATAGATGATCTATGCTTTACAATCTGTTTTTACTAGCATGAAAAATACAGGAAAATCTAACAATCTTAAAGATACGTTATACAAGAAAACTGTTTTATTTTACCTTCATTTCACCTTCCTGGTCGAGCATCGACTCAAACTTGTCACTCAACTCCCGTAGTTTACCATTAAGCTGGTCAACCATTTTGTTACTCTTCTCTAGCTCTGTCTGTGTCACCTGAAGCTCGGCCTGAAGACGTCGCTCCGAGTACTCGCACTGACTTACACGACTACTTAAATCCTCGCTGTAGAACAGACACATTATTTAATTAGAATATACACTCATTTATTTCAATAAACTATACAACAAGAGGGCCATGATGGCCCTGAGGTCGCTCACCTGTATATAGGAACCCCCCCCCACCCCCAGGCCAATTTTTACCCAAGGGCTTTTATTTGTTTATCTGAACAGACTTGGTAGACACCCATAAGAAGAAGTTTCATGCTAAACATCTAAGTTCTAGCTCATTGGGTTTTTTTAAAAGAAGATTTTTAAAGTTTTTACTATACACATATAGTTAAAAACAATGACACCCCTGGGGCAGGGCCAGTTTTGACCCCCGGGCTTTTATTTGAACAAACTTTGTAGATATTTACTTAAAGATGTTTCATGCTTAATATCTAAACTCTAGCTATTTGGGTTCTTTCAAAGAAGATTTTTAAGTTTTTGCTATACACATATAAGGAAAATCAATGACCCCCCGGGCAGGGCCAGTTTTGATCCCAGGGCTTTTATTTGAACATACTTGGTAGACACCCATTAGAACATGTTTCATGCTAAATATCTTAGCTCTAGCTCTTTGAGTTCTTTAAAAGAAGATTTTTTAAGTTTTTGGGGCGGGGCCAATTTTGACCCCAGGGCTTTTATTTGAAAAAACTTGGTAGACACTTATTAGAAGATGTTTCATGCTAAATATCTTAGCTCTAGCTCTTTGGGTTCTTTAAAAGAAGATTTTTTAAGTTTTTACTATATGCATATAGGGAAAATCTATGACCCCCTGGAGCGGGGCCAATTTTGACCCCAGGGCTTTTATTTGAACAAACTTGGTAGACATTCACTAGAAGACGTTTCATGCCAAATATCTAAGCTCTAGCTCTTATGGTTCTTTAAAAGAAGATTTTTTAAGTTTTTACTATATGCATATAGGGAAAATCAATGACCCCCCTGGGCGGGGCCAATTTTGACCCGGTAGACAGACGTTTCACTATTGAGACGTTTCACACCAAGACGTTTCACTCCCAAATGGGAGTGAAACGTCTTGAAGACATTTCACTCCCATTTTATACCAAAGTCTATATATTACTACTGTAACAATATACCTTAATTTTACTAAAAAATGAAAGTTTGTATGTCATAATTGTTAAAGTTTTTATTTTTTACTTGATTAGAGAGATCTTTGATCTGATATCTTTTCAGATATTTATTCTAGTTTAGGGAAGGATATCATATATGACCGGATATAATTGTATGAAAGTTGCAGTTCTCTAAAGATGTTAATGATAATAATTTATAAATGATTTTCTTTGCATTAAGTATATTTTTATATTATTAAATAAGTAAAAAAAATTCTGAAGATAATCTAACATAATATATAAAATATTATTATCTGATTAAATATCATTTTATTTTTGTTATAATTTATAACCAAAACTTATGGAGGAGTTTCTGTTTCCATGTTTTTGGTTTTAATTGGCTGAACATTGTCTAAAAATATTTCAAAACAACTAATTAATAACTGTTGATGCTAAAGTGCAGTGTTTAAACAACTAATTAAGTGATGAGATTACTGTTAACACCACAATTACCTAAGTTTGTTTAATGGCTACTGTTCAATAAATCGATAAAGAAATCATTTAAAAGAATAATTAATTTATGCACATTTTCTGCATTTCATTGATCAATATATTTACACAAAAAAACCTAATAAATATGTTTTATATATTGATATTATTTAATTACTGTACTGGCAGTGGTTTCAATATTCAAACTGGTACTTACAATGTGTCTTTGTTGTTCACGAACATTTTCATTTTGTTATTCTATTATCTTTCTTGATTTATTATAAATAGAATTTTCTCATGTTGTTACTCTTATAATAAAAAACGATATTTCAGACATTTGTCTTTCATATAAACCTCTTATCATTAAATCCATATTTAAATGAGTATGATGATATATATAATCTTCTAATAATTCATCATAATTATGTCCTCATTGAAACCAACATTATTACTCCTAATAGTTAACAGGAATTCTTCAAAACACTGTTTAAATGGAACAAAATTCATTTTTTTTAGCTGATACTATACTGTATATCTCATAATTATTTACACATTCTGTTATATTTTAGAAAAAATATACTTTTATAATCATTCTTCAAATTCATAAATTCTTCTTCACAATACTCTCAAATTCAACAAAATGAATCATTAATTTGAATTTCCCCTTCAAAATGAAAATACATTTTCTTAATAAAAACATCTAAAAATGGGAGTGAAACGTCTATACAATTGACAAAATGGGAGTGAAACGTCTAGGTGTGAACCGTCTTGGGAGTGAAATGTCTCAATAGTGAAATGTCTTGGGAGTGAAACGTCTGACATTCTTTTGACCCTAGGGCTTTAATTTGAACAAACTTGGTAGACACAGGCTGTCCAGCACCCTCTGACAAAAAATTAGGGCAAATTTTAGGGCAATTTTTAAGAAATTTTAGGGCTAAAATTAGGAATTTTAGGGTAAGTAAAAGGAATTTTAGGGCTAAAATTTGGAATTTTATAAATAAATTATGGCCCCAAAAGACCATGTTTTGGGCTAAACTTTGCATATTTGATACAAAAGTAAGTAACTCACAAATAATGCTCTAGTTCAGTTATAACAAAAGTGTCTACCAGTGTTCCATAGTCAACCGTGAATAAATAGATTTACTGGTCAACTGCCTTTAACTGCCTACTATAAATAAGAGCTGAAAAACTTAACTACATTAAAACATAACTAGAATGAAAACATTTTTAAAGTTATGAGTATCCTAGAACAACCAATATTCAATTAGTTAAGATGTTATTTGCCAATAGTAAATGAGAAATTATGCTTTAAATTTATTCTAGCTATAAATGCATAAAAAATTTATCAACAATTATTCATTTTAAGTTTGGTACAGTTTGAACAAGTCTTGATCTTTCTTAAAAAACAATAAAAACAATATGACCCACTCTCAGGTCATTCCCATGAATATTCTAATCTAAATTCAAACAGCAGGGTATTCTCCACTAAAGAATTTGTTAAAAATAAATCAGGGCTACTAAAAATTGTAGAAAATTTCACAACAGAGTCAATCTATGCAATGATTTTTAACAGTTTTTTTTTCCAGATTTAATAAAAACATACACTTAATGTTATAACATATTTACAGTACATTGCATTGGTATGGCTAATGTTAATGTGTACAAAAAGGGCAGCTGAAGGTGTCACTTCTTAGTACGCTAATTGGGGTGCAAAATGGTAAAAGCATCCAATCATTAAAGCCAGTTTACCTTACCCACTTTATAATATTACCAAATATGAAAACTTGTCTAGATCTGCCAGCTGGTATCACTTACAAAAGATCTATTCTACAGTCATCACTTGAAAATAACTTGATTACAAATTAAGATTTTATTAAAAAGGTCCCCTACATAAAGTCTGATGAAATTTTGTGGTACATCATAAATAGTTGCTTTAAATACACCTAAGACTGAGGTAAATGGTTTAACAACTGTAGCAAATAAAAAATATAACTTGCTTAGAATTTTTTTTATCTCTATTTTAAACAAGTGACCATTTTGATATAGTCACAGTCAGATAATTTTCATTGTTCCATTTAAAACAAACAGTTTCTTATTATTTTTTTGATAACATCTGGCAATAAATCAAGTATGACATTTCTGCAGGAGTTGAAGTAAATACAACAAGTGCGTTTATGCAATTTAGTCAGATATGACAATAGCGCCATTGACTGTGTTAATATTTAGGTTGTGATTGAAAAATTGTTGTTTCGGGATATGTTATAACAAAAGATAAAAAAATAGGAATTTCAGTGAAAAAATAGGGCATTTTTAGGAATTCCCTTTGAATTTTTCATTTTTTTAGGAATTTTAGCCAAACTGAAAAAAATTAGGATTTTTTAGGAATTTTAGGGACGCTGGACAGCCTGTAGACACTCACTAGAAGATGTTTCATGCTTAATATCTTAGCTCTAGCTCTTTGGGTTCTTTAAAAGAAGATTTTTTAAGTTTTTACTATATGCATATAGGGAAAATCAATGACCCCCTGGGGCGGGGCCAATTTTGACCCCAGGGCTTTTATTTGAACAAACTTGGTAGACATTTACTAGAAGATGTTTCATGCCAAATATCTTAGCTCTAGCTCTTACAGTTCTTTAAAAGAAGATTTTTTTAAGTTTTTACTATATGCATATAGGGAAAATCAATGACCCCCTGGGGCAGGGCCAATTTTGACCCCAGGGCTTTTACTTGAACAAACTTGGTAGACACTCACTAGAAGATGTTTCATACCAAATATCTAAGCTCTAGCTCTTAGGGTTGTTTAAAAGAAGATATTTAAAGATTTTTCTTTCGGTTGCCATGGCAACCAGAGTTCTGCACGGAATTAAATTCTTTTAACAATTTTTAAAGGTGACCACCAAAGGAACATTCCTGTGAAGTTTGGATGAAATTGGCTCAGTGGTTTATGAGGAGATGTCATTTAAAGCAAAAGTTTACGGACGGACAACGGACGGACGTACGCCGGACGAAAAGCGATCACAAAAGCTCACCCTGTCACTTTGTGACAGGTGAGCTAAAAAAGAACATTTAAGCCAAGTTATTTCAGAATCCACCATCTAAATACCTAGTTATGATCTGACACACTGTTACAACAATCTCAATTTTGGCCTGACATTAGCAAGCTAAAATCAACAACAAAAAACATACTTACTTTTCAAAAGTGACATCATTCAGTGAAGACTTTAATGCTTTTTCTATCAAATGAGCCACTCTGACAATTTCTGTGAATAGCATCGCTACACGGCTCATCTGATTGGACAACTCTCCCTCTTCACTAGGATGGCACACACTTTCAAATTTTGACTCGACCTTATTGGATACCGCATGACAGACCACTCTTATGTACTGGTTCAGTTGATGACAAAGAGTTTCCAGCACTTCTTTCTAGAATGACAACTGGTCGACACATCGTTTTCTACTGACTGTGCAGTTTTTTAATGTAACAGATTTCTTAACTGGAGCAAAAGCACTATTTCCTGAAAAGCCAAGCTTCTTTCTACTCAGAGCACCTGGACTGTCTACCACTCCTTGTTCACATGAAAGAGCATCTACAGGATTCGGAGGAGGTTTATTAGTTTTTTCATTATTTTCACAACCAGTCTGTTGTTCTTGATCTTCATTGCTCCTAGTGGCATCTTCAATATTTTCTCCAAGACTGTTTGCTGCATTCAGAATCTGAGAAACCAAGGAGATTGAAATATTCGTATTGTCTTTCAACGGCTCTTTGTTCAATGTAGAATTATTAATGACCACTTGACTGTTCTCAACGTCCTTGTTCTGGAAATATACACATTCAAATTGTTATCATATGAGCCGCCCCATGACAAAACCAACATCGTGTGCTTGTGACCAGCATAGATCCAGACCAGCCTGCGCATCCGCGCAGTCTGATCAGGATCCATGCTGTTCACTTACCAACTCTATTACAAGTAGAGAAACTGACAGCTAACAGCATGGATCCTGATCAGACTGCACGTATGTGCAGGCTGGTCTGGATCCATGCTGGTCGCAAACACACTTTGTTGGTTTTGTCATGGCGCGGCTCATATTATTATAACTATATAAGTTGTTCCTAAATACAATTGATTTTACATAATTTTCGAGATTTTCAAGATTTCATTGGTTAGTCTTTAGGCCTCCGGCTTAAAACATTTACAGTATATATACTATATAAATATATAGTAAAGACAGTGACTCATAAAGACATGTATACATACAAAATTAACAGTATTTCAGTTCTCATTGAATAATATCTAAGTAACTTTGTCTTTTATCTAATGCATATAACAGGTACATTGCAGTGTTCATTTTTGTTAGACATTATTGAGTAAAATTTATCAAGTGTTGGTAGCATTCTGTAATTTTCAGAAATATATTGGCAGCGTATATCAGGGACAGATATATATAAAATGGTGTTCATCTTCTATTCAATACACTTTGTCTTTCTACAAATTTTGAACAGTCAACAAATCACTAAACATTTATGACTTACACAGGTCAAAAGCCTGTATAGTTAGCAATTCTCAATTTGGATGGTACAAACTTCAAGGATTTAAGGCTGTCATTGAATATCACAATATTGATATATCATTGATAATCATCATCGTCAGGGGCAAGCCGTTGTTTCCTTAAGCAAGAAACTATACATTCATTGCTTAGTACTGGTTGGTTCGAGAGTGTTTCAATAAGCTTATAGCTTCAAACACAATGAAACTAAAAGAAATTTGTATAAACTAGGGTAACTGACTTTAAAGTGACTTGAACCTCATTACTGCAAGTTTACACATTGCCAGACTGCTTTTACTTGGGGCAGCTATCCAGCTAGCTTATGAAAGGTCCAAAATTTTATCTGCTCATGCCAGGAGTAATGCATGATCAGGAACCTAAGGGGTCATCCTTCACCTGCTAACTGGGAAAGATCTTATATGAACTGTACAATGTAAGGGCAAGTAAGTTTGTTTGTTTTGGTATTATGTCACACAAACACAGTATAAAGCATATTGCGATGTTCCATCTTTACTGGTGGAGGGAGACCTCAGGTGCCCATCTGTGCATTATTTTAGGCACCAACGGGCACCTAAGTAGAACCACCAACGTTCTGTAAAGTAGCTGGATAGCTTCCGCACACTTAAGAATCCAGATTCAAGTAGTGGGGGGCAAGCGGTTTGAAGCCAACAACCTTAATCACACGACCATAAACGCCCTTGTCAGTGAAACTTAAAACCTAATAAAACTAATTATTTTATATATCTATCAAACCTCTATTCCAGCCCTCCTGCTCAGGTTTGCTAGCACACCCGTCATGTTCTCAAGAAGCTCATCTATGGCCGAAGAGCAGTCGGCTATCTCCGTGCCCTGCTTCTTCATTACTTTAGAGGCATAATCCTGGGTACCAGTAAGCTCTTCCTGAGTACTCTTCAATATTGCTCTGAAGAAGATAAAATTCTTAATTGGGCTTAACCTTACATTGCTATTTAATTTTATAACTTATATTCAGTAATTCTGCAAATACAAAATAGGTACAAATAATGCTACTTGTTTGGTACACATGATGTATAAATTTTTTGTGCGATGGCCTGAATAATAAGTTAATGTTAACACAATTATCTTGTCCCATTTTCAAAATCAACTTGGTCACTCTGTTTCTAAATGTACATTAGAGATCCTGTATGTTGTTATTAAGGATGTAAAAACACCCAAGTGAAATTCTTATATATGTATATTATTATTCTTGTAAAACAATTTCAAAACATCCAAGAATATGTTAAATATCTGCTGCAAATGTTTACAGGTATTATATATAATCATTAAAATATATGCATTCATTACTTCTTAGACTTTGCAGAAAGTAGATTTCTTATTACTTCCCTTTATTTACATGAAATGTAAATTCGGTAATATCTTTACACATAATGCTTTTTTTCGGAACTTACAATATCGATAAATCTTTATTTGAGCACCATATTTATGATATAAAACCTTAAGAAATTTGAGTTACAGAATCTTTAAATGAAATCTTTTATGTTGCAATAGATGTGAAAGCGGTAAAAATAGATCATATTATGAAACATTCACATAAAACCTTTACATTTTACATGTTTCATATTAGCCCTGAAAGTTACATGTCTCAAGATGAGCCAAAATATTTCAACTTGAGACAAATGTACTTAGTCCTATGTGCAATTAATAACTGACTTTGTAGTATTTATCACAATATTTCTACTGCGTGACAAACACAGTATGGACTGTTTTTGTATTATATTTGACCACTTTTGGTAGTTTACATTGATTGTAAGTGTTGCTTGCAATGTGTTAATCACTTTCTTTCTTCAATTTACAATATTACAATAAGTTTTCATGATGATTAGCATGAATCTAGAGGCATGCTGCTTTAAGTTGTTGAATGGAATTGGCCGAATTCAAGTTTGAACCAGTATAAAACCTGATTAGACGACCCATATGTTCAGACTGGTATTACCCTTTTTTTCATTATGTTTACACCTCTGAAATAATTGTACCTGGACAGAAAATAAATTGAAGTTTACATAGTAAATGGCAGTTTATGCAAGATCTAAATTAATTCTACTTTCGATTTGATGTTTACATCGTCAGTACTTGACTAATATCCGGTTTCTTATATCATGTGACTTAACCTAGCTCCCTTATCAACAAAGTAGGACCCGCATCAGCTGCTAACTTGCATTCAGCTTCTCGATTTCTACAGCGCTCTTTGTTTACATGCACATTAACTTAGAAAAATATTTTTACACCACCATCCATCCCAGACTCTCACCTTAAAGAGCAATGCCTTCTAGCTAAGAATCTTGTCATGGGTCTCAAATGGGGTTTAGGCTTGTTAGCCAATACCAAGAAAGAAGGAGGCATACTGCCTCGGACTACACCAGACTTAAAGGTTTTAACATGTATGTGTCTTATTTCCAGTGTAAGTTATATTTATCATATAATCATTCATTTGGTCTGATGTTTCTTAGCCAGTTATGCCAAAAAATAAAGATTTATAGGTCTATCACTTGTTCCATGGTTTTAATTTAATCGAGTATAAATAAGAGATACAACTTAACTTCTCACTGAATATATATGGAGGGACATTACCTAGTTTCTTGTTCTTTTGCCCTGAGGTTAGCACAACAGTCCTGTAAATAGATGTAAGCCTTGTAAAAGTTGGTTTTTTTTATATTGAGACAGCTTAATAAAAAGATTTTCATTAATGATGTACATGCTTACATATTATCATCATAGTACGTGAAGTAATTTGTTGTCATAATGTTTAATCATATAATTTTATTGCGTAAAAGTCAGAGGTGGGGGACCTGTACATATTATATGACATACAATTCATAATGTAACGTTTCACACCTTACAAAGAGAGAGAGAGAGGTCATTTCAGCCAAAGTGATGGGAAATTTCCTTCTTTTAATTATAATGCTAATATATAATGCTAAGCAAAAAAAAAACCCACAACACTTGAAAATGGACCAGATATAGATGATGTCAAACTATCACATTGTTTCAACCTTCATTCAGAATATTCATACTGACCTGTGTATTATTAATACAAGAAGTGTAAGGGATATTTTTGATATCTAACAATATACAACAACATAACCACAAATTTAAGATCTAGGTAAGTGTTGACTATCAGTGGTCTCAAAAGTGGGGACAAATAAAGAACAAAACAAAGTATTTTGACTGAATCTGTGGTCTTAAAAGTGGATAAGCAAGGTGGTCTTAATTCTGGATCATGTAGCCATTAACATAAAGAACAGAAAATTTTGTTCTTTTCAAAAATGGTCTTAATAGCAGGGTGGTCTACATTTCGTGGTGGTCTTAAGTAGGGATTCTACTGTACTTTAGATTTAGCTAGTTTATAAGGATGACCACCTTGCATCTCTTTTAAGTTTAGAAGTGGAGTGTCCATCATTAGCAATTTTTCATCAAGTTTGTTTGTTTCTTTCATTTTACACCTTTTCCCAACAGTATTTCAGTCATATACGCGGGTAGTTTCCTAACCATGGTTTCCTGGAGAGTTACACCAGTACTAGACTACCTATCTCCTTGCTAACCTACCAAAGCATCTCATGGGGATCGAACCCACGCCAGAAAGGTAACTGGATTAGAAGTCATTGACTCTAACCCCTCGACCACGGAGGCGGTTTTTCATCAAGTGGAAAATGTTGTGATAGTTTGAAAGCATCTAAAACATCATATTATTAGCATGTCATATGGCATCAACAAATATTTTCCACAAACACCATTCAAACAGTTAAACATATTTTTAAAGGTTACTTTTCAGGCAAGTATATGTATGAAAAAAATGTTAAGCCAACAGTTTTTTGTCAAAAACAAACCTTCAGTCGGTCACACTCGCCCTTCAGTGTTGTTAATTCTGCTGACATGTTCTTCTCTTTGGTATCCTGAGATTTCGCTGTCTCATTTGGTTATATATTATCTCGCGGCACTCAAACAAATCTTTCTCCAGCAGGTCTATCTCACTCTCTCGGCTCTCCAGTGTTCTGTTTGGAGGTTCCTTACTACTAATTCCTCCTCCTGTAAATATTTTTTGTAAATTGACTACTTTTCAATCATCTAGAGTTTAAATTGACTGCTTTTCAATTATTTATAGTTTAAATTGACTACTTTCAATCATTTAAAGTTTAAATTGACCACTTTTCAATCACTTCAGAGTTGAAATAGACCACTTTTCAATCACTTAGAGATGAAATTTGACCACTTTTCAATCACTTAAGAGTTTAAATTGACCACTTTTCAATCACTTAGAGATGAAATTGACACTTTTCAATCACTTAAGAGTTGAAATTGATCACTTTTTAATCACTTAAGAGTTTAAATTGACCACTTTTCAATCATTTAGAGTTTAAATTGACTACAAAAAGATTCACTTCGACAAAAACACAAAATTCATTTAATTAAATAGAAACACAGAAACAAATCCTATTTCTTTATATAAATGTGTAATTTCTGATAATTTCTTTACCTATTATCCATTGATTCAATGTCTTCCTTAAGTTGTTTGATTGTAGCATTATGTTCATTTATTTCTTCTCTTAATTTATCCATCTCATTCTTCAGTGTTGCATTCTGTTTCAATAGCTCCTCCTTGTGGGCGGTAACTTTTTCCAATTTATCCACCTCATTCTTCAGTGTTGTGTTTTGTGCCAATAGCTCCTCCTTGTGGGAGGAAACTTTTTCCTTCTCTGTAAAATTGATGACATTGTTTTGGTACTTGCACAAACAGCAGTTAAAAATTTATCAATTTTGATCTTGCCAGATTAAAGTTCAATTGTGAAGAAAGTTTGGAGCTAAACTGTTTGTTTGTTTCATTTTACGCCTTTTCCCAACAGTATTTCAGTCATATAGGCGGGTAGTTTCCTAACCATCATTCCTGGAAAGTTACACTAGTACGTAGACTACCTTTCCTCCTTTGCTAACTACCCAAATCATCTCCCGGGGATCAAACCCACGTCAGAGAGGTAACTGGATTAGAAGTCATCGAGTCTAACACGTGGGCGGTAAACTAATCCAATTTATGTCTGCTTCAATGACAAACCAGTACATAAACCCGTGTTGGTTGTGACACATTTACCACTAGACCACCCTAACAAGGGCTGTCATTAATGGAAAATTTTGTATTGATACGTCGAGAGACAAATATTGACGATATATCAATATATTGATTTTGACAGTAGATACAATGAAAAAAAATTAAAATATGTGTTATAAATAAATTGGAATCATGGTGTTATGTACGCTTGTTTTTACAATTAAACATTACAAATACTATAAACTAACAAAGTTTTTTTTGTGTTATTTTTGTCACTGACAGTTGAAAACGGAGTTTAAAGTTCAAGTTAACCGAGAAAACTAGAAAAAAAGTGACTTATCTTATTGAGCAAAATAGAGAAGTATCTTCACTTACAGAAATAAAAAAAAATTAAGCTGGTATTGAAATTAAAAGTGTGTATCAATATTGTATCAGAGGATGGTTTTCAATGATATATCGACATTGCCATATTCAATGACAGCCTGCCATATACAATGACAGCCCTAACCTAAACTCTAAATACAGTCAATAAAATCTATTTCTGTATGTACTAATCTAAGTACTCATGTAAGAAAGATATGATTAATAAGAGATAACAATCTAATGAAAGGTAATTTTGCGCTGATAGAAAGTTAAGTGATTAGAAACTACCAAATATAAGCAGGTGAAAGCTTCAACCTTTCCTGATGTGTTAGAAAAACCTTGTCACATTAAAATATCAATCAAAATCGTTAAGAGTAAGAATCTTAAGTGGAAAGGTGGCACCTATGACCTGCCCACATATCATGGTGCATATCCATATAGGTACCCTCTTTGCGAAATCTGCTGAAACGGTCCCCTATTTGCACATGCACAGGTCATTCTTTGCTAAAAACAAACCAGCGATGGATAACAATCCAGTAAAATTTCATTGTAATAAGGAAAGGAGGGATAACACTTAGAAAACATGTATACCATTGGGTTATCGGTAAGTATGTTATATTTCTTACTTTTATGTAAATATCACATACATTACCATTAACGCAAATAAAAGCATATGTCGTGCTTTGGGGGTACCAATGTGTAAAAAAATGAGAGGGTACCTGTGATATAAAAATTCAAATGAAGAGAGGTAGCCCGTGCCACTGCAAAACCGAAAGTAGGGTGTTTTTATGAATTTTACATTTATTTTTGACAATATACTGCCATTTGTCCGAAGATGATATGTATATGAACATATTAAATATGTATGATGCATATATAATCAAGCCACAGGTTCATTGCAGCCCAAAAAGTATGTCGAGGTGATGGACGAGGCAAGACATGTCGATATTTTGTAGCTTATTGTGAAGTTGCAGTACATGAAAAACGGGCACATGACAAATCAGCACATAAATAAAACATTCTAGTGTTCCGTGGTATACATGTTTTCTAATTGTCATCCCTCCTTTCCTTATTACAATGAAATTTTACTGGATTGTTATCCATCGCTGGTTTGTTTTTAGCAAAGAATGACCTGTGCATGTGCAAATAGGGTACCGTTTCAGCAGATTTCGCAGAGGGTACCGATATGGATATGCACCGTGCATATGTATAATGGATTTGTTTTTCTTTGAAATGAGGAGTTGATTGTGGGTACAAAGGCTTTAAATAAAAACATGAGACATGAAATAGTCAGAAAACCAGTTTTTAGTGTACATTTTACATAATGGTGGTTGGTGGTGTTGGTAGTTTTCACTCTGGATCACGGCAGTAAGCCACAATGAATTTACCAGAGCTCAATTCAGCCACTGGATCGTTCCTGAGCAGGCTGTCAATTAGTTTTATAGTACTAGTTACCTTCACTTTCACAAGGAACTGATTACTTCTGTACATGCAAGAGCAGAGATACAATGCGAATTACCATAGAATAATCAATCACAACGAAAGTGAGCAGCGCAGTCCGGGAATAGATACTGGGTTGCCTGATTCACAGTCAAACACTCTACATATTCAGCTAACAGACGGCTTTAATTTTACATAATGAATATGAAAAAATACTACATTCTTAAATTGAGCAGTCATTAGCTTACAGCCCGATATGATGCCACAATTGAACAAAAAGGCATGACTCTATACTGGAAGCATGCACAACTACTGCAAGTAACAGACATATAGTGAAATTTCTGCTGGCACTAACCTTTAGATATTGTATCTATTTCCTCTTTCATTGTCAGAACTGTTTCTCTGGTGGCCTCTAATTCGACAGTTGTCTCTTCTAACTTCGATTCAATCTAAATGAAAACAGTATATGTATTCAATGTAAAATACGATATCTTTAAAACCCAAAAATGCTTCCCATTCAAAATTTCTATTGAGAATTTTTTTAAATCATATTTAAATCTTGAGACAAAAGTACTGAGATTTGGGGGAAAATTAAAAAAATTCAAATAAAGTAAAAAAATTTTTCCATGTTATATGGCCAAATGACCCCTTTTGTAGTATTTTTTACCATATTTCACTGTGTTAAATGTAAGGGGTATTTTTGATAAAATTTATTTAAAAAGGTTGAAAAGTCTTTTTCAATATAAACTAATTTTTTTGTTTACTTCACAATTTTTTACTTTTTTAATACATTTTCAAAAAATTTTTATGAAATTTGATGAATCTGGGGTAAAAGGGTGGTTTAATTTTAAAAAATGTAAACGTTCTAGGAAGGGCAGAAAAAAAAAAACAAAAAAGGGGAACCCTTTTAAACATTATTTTTAGGCAACAAAAATATCAAAATTTGGAAATACCAAACCCTTTTGTAAGGGAGTTTGGGTATCTTTCTAACAGAAAAGAATCCCCAAAAACTCTGCTGGGATTCAAACCTGAAAGGTAGGGGCAAGTGGGACCGGGGTCCCGCGGGCATTACCAAACCCGGGGCCAAAGGGGATCCCTCAAAAACTTTAGTTATTAGCATTTACACAAAAAATGACAAAAATGAGAAGAAAATAGCTTATAAAGCCTGTTCTTTATATAGTTTGTTCACTTTCTTTACTTTATCATCATAATTCAATTATTCTTGTACTTTACCTCCAGCATATTTTCCTTACAAGAACTCACTATCTCTGCCATTTGTTCACGGTCCTTTTGAATATCTAACTTTTCATTGGTCATCTCATCTCGCTCCTTTTGTATCGCTAACTTTTCCTCGGAAATTTGTTCCTGCCCTATTTGTATGGCTAGCTTATTCTCTACGATTTCATCTTGTTCTTTTTGTATGGCCTCCCTCTCCTGTAAAACTTGGTCTTGTTCTTTCTGTATGGTTATTTTATCATTTGCCATTTCATCTTGCTCTCTTTGTATAACTATTTTATCTTGTTCCAGTGATATCAGATCTGCTTCGTATTTCTTCAACCGTGACAATAAATCTTCATTCTTAAAATAAAAAGGCAATTGATTGACAATTAAAATTTGCAGGTTTTTCTTTTGTTTAATTTTTTTAAAAGAAAAAGCTTATTATCAACCTAATTGAGTGGCGACATTGCCAAGTGGTTAACATGTCGGACTGGTAATTTAAGGATTGCTGGCAATGTTGATTCAATTCTGTTAGGGGCAAGTCGTTGTTTCCTAAAATTTGAGATTGTTTTAATAAGCTTATAGCTTCAAACACAATCAAAGTAAAAAAAAATAGTTTAAAATAATTATCAGCAGTAAAACTTTCAAAGAAAAGTGTCCTGTTTCAAATGTTTATTAATATTTGATTTGGTATATCATTCATTTAGTGTTTTAGTATTTATATGTAACACCCTTTTCTTTTTCGGTAGATATAACATTTTTCAAAGCTTTTCAAAATGGGTAAAACCCAAGAATGAAAAGCCAACTGCCCAAACCCAGGGAGGGGGATTAAATTTTCCAAATCTAGGATTTGGGCCCTCGAAAAATCCCTGGGTAAATTTTTGTAAAAAAGTTGAGAACAACCCAAATACCCCTTTAATTTAAAATCCCCTTTCTTTGGGTTTTCTTTCCCTCAAACTTTACCCTTTTATGTCTTCTGGGTAAAACTACCCTAGCAAGCTTTCCCCGTCAATAACCTAAAATTTTTTCCAGTTAAATCCCCCTATTTCATACTTCTTTGGGTTTTAAGCTTTTTCATTTCCCGGGTTTTTTTATTAGTTTTTAAACCCCCTGCCGAAAATTTCATCTGGGTTTAGGGAGTTTGGGCCCGAGGAGTTTAAAATGGGGTTAAACAATGGCATTTTGGGAGTGGGAAAAAATAAATTTAAACCCAAAACAATGGTCTTAACTTATTTCATCAAATTTGACCCTTTTAATCAGGGTTGGTGTTAAACAAATTTTACTCCAAAATTAAAGTTGTTTTACAGTGTTTTTTTTTCACTAAATTGGGGAAAAGGGCCCTTTTCCCTCCTTTTTTTGGGGACAAAGGGTAAATTTCAAAATTGCAATTTAAAAAATAAAAAATTTTGTAAAAGCTTAGATTCTTGGGCAAAATGCATTCTAAAAGAAAAAATTTCAATTGGAAAGAAGCCTTTTTATCGCCTAAGGGTGAAAAAATCACTGGTTGACAATTGTCAAAGGGTTTTTTGTTTTGAACATTAATATTTCCTTTGTCACATAGAATTTACAAAGCTTGAATCTTAAATAAGGGTTTAGAGCTTTTTTCCACGCAAGACATAAAACCCATTTTATCAAGAATATCAGCTAGGCAAGCAAGAACAGAAAAAAAACATTCAAGTGCTAAGTAATAATATTCAAAATTAACATCATTTGGGAACTTTTAATTAACTACCATCCCCGAACTAAACGATACTGCCAAATGAAAATTTTCAAAATCAGATTCAAATTTCTTAATCCCTGCAGGGGTTTTCATTATTATCAGAGGAAAAAGATGTGCCAACCAAAACAACTGATTTGACCAAGGTTCAAGGGTGATATTTTAATCTACAGGCTGAAAATACAACCAATTTTAAAAGCATTTCAACCGATGATATGGATCACCAATCATTAATAATGAAAACCTTACTATTCTTTTTGCTGAAAATGAAAAGCTATAGATCAGTTTTGCATCTAGGCCGCGCGATTGCACAATTTGCATATATTTTTGCAGATTGTGTATTTTAATAAAGTCTATGCGCGCAAAATCTTGAATCTGACGATCTTTTCAATTTAATTCAGTTTATCTTCATCGTATCTTGAACGCTTCTGCCATGTTTGTTTTCACTCGCAGTAATGACTTAAATAAGTACTTAATCGTGTGTAGCAGCCAACCAGGTCATCTGGAGTGTGTATTGACTGTTTGATGTGCGCACTTTAGTAGTGTTCATCAATATTTTATTTTTTTCTATATCCATTGTTGAGCGGACGATAGCTGTCAAAAATGCCTAAGCGTAAAATAAATGAATTCTTTTTTGGAATGTCATATTGTTAGGTAAATGCATGTCTCCCACATTTTTTTCAAATCCCCCACATTTTTCAGTTGAGTGGGGGATAATTCCCCATAATTTTGAAATTCTAGATGCAACACTGATAGGTATGTAAAGCTCACTAAATCATTACCTTATTTTTGTGTTCCAGTTTTAGGACAGACATTTCATTTTCATGTTCCAGTTTTAGGACAGATATTTTATCTTCTAGTTCCAGTTTTAGGACAGAGATTTCTGACTCGAGTGCTTGCTGTCTGGTCTGCCATTCATCAACATCTTGACTGTATTTGGTTTCCATCTCCCAAAGAGCTGCTTTATTTTCTTCAAACTTGACTTGTAAATCCTAATACATAAACAGTGACATATTTTCTGTTAAAGGGTATAAATCTATATCATATGAAATATTTTCATAAAATTCATCAACAGTAACATTATATTGGTTCCATTATTATATGGTTGATTCCTGAAAAAGTTTTAACATAGAATGTCTCTGTTATTTAATACACACGAAAAATGTACATAAACAGAATAAAATGTTCTGGAACAAAATATCATTTTGCTATTTAAGTAGGGTTTTATCCATTTAGCAATGATTTTGTGCATGCGCCATTCACTTTTGAGGCATTAAATTAAAGTATCCTTTTTTAAAATCCAAACAATAATTTTTGCATCAGATATATAGCTTTACAGTCATCGATTCAGCACTGGCACGGTGGCCCATGGCCAGTGAAAATTAGTTCGGGCCAGTGTAAATTTTAAGAAAATTTAGTTAAATATATAATAGAATAAATTCAAAACTGGAATTCGGGCCAGTAAATTCAATGACTGGCTTTATACACTTTAAAATCAACATTTATCTATAGTATACTGGGATGCAAAATTAAACATTTTATCAAATATAACCAATTTCATTAAATAGAACCACCAAAATAATGTAAAAACTACAAAATTTAAACAATACACAGGGATAAAAAATTTCCATTCATCCTCTCGTATTAATTATTAGAATTTGAGGGAATTTGCAAAAGAATGAGTAGTACAGTGCAGCCTTATCATAGAATTTAGCTGCTACTTCACTTAGGTAAATGGTTCTGAAGATGATTTTTGATCCCTGAATTTGCCTATAAAGTCAGTATATATACCATTTCTATTAAATGTTGACTGTTTGAAGGTGAAGATTATGAAATAAAGATTAAATGATAAGTTATGCGAAGACCTAGGCGCTTTAAATATTTTTTTTTCTTTTGGTTTTTAGTCACAATGACACTCCAAAAACCCTTTCAGGCCTTCCAAGGTTTACTGTTAAAGGAAGACCTAAAAGTGAATCTGGTTAATAACACAGAGTTACAAAGTATGTAAACATTTTACCTTTTGAACTACCAGTTTTTTCCTGTCTTTTTCATAAGCCTTGACCTGGTTTTCTAGCCTGGAGTTTTCCAGACGTAAGGTCTCAAGCTCATTGGCAAGAACCCTCGGGTGTTGTTTACGTACATCTTCTGCTGTCAACCTGGTTTCAGAGTAGAAATTTTAAATTAAACCTTATAAGTTATATCTAAACCTACATTAATAATTCAGTGTTATTCATCAAGCAAATATCAGGCATGAAAAATGAAAAAAAATAATGTAATTTCGAAAAATAAAATCTACACATTTATGTACAAATACATATTTAACTAGTGTATAACCACAAGTATGTAATTGACACAAACTGTTTCACAGTATTTTTACTATTGTATTATGTACAAATCTTAGAAATGATAACACAACCGGGTGTATAATGTACAATATTCTACTATTGCATTGTATATTATTCTTTGAAATAGTGACTGACAACTAGTTGTATATTCTATAATATTTAATATTGTATTGTGTATTTGAGCTTATGGCCTTGAATTGTGTTGTAATAAAGCTTGGAAACTTGAGATATTTCATCCCCTCACCCCTAAAACCTTTGAAATCTAGTGGTATTCATTACTTGCCATTGTATACAAAAAAAGCCCTATCTGCTCATCTGACAAGAGTCTATATATATTGTATACAGTTCATTTCTTTATTCATTTTTGTTCATTTTGAAACCCCTTGAAATAACAATGGATATCATACATATTTAACAGTGTAAAGATTGCATTTGTGTTCTAACTTCTACTTTTGAATACAAACAGATATTTTATCAAGTATTAATCTACATTTTTTCCCATCCCTTTTCTTCTTTTTTAAATTTTCATTTTTGTCTTTACGGGTTTTGTTGGGGCCCGGGGCCATGGTTTTTCTCCCAATTCCCCTGTACCCCCCCGGTTACCTTTCCCCCGGTTTAATCTGTTAAACCCAAAGCTGCTAGCTTTTCTGTATTGGTTCCCTTCTAATTTCACCTTTTCCCTCCCCCCAAAGGTTAATTTTTGTTTTAAAGGATGGGCAGGGAAACCATGGGTGAAAATTAGGGAGTGTCGATTTTTGATTTTTAATTTAAACCCTCGTGAAACTTGTCCCCTTCCTTGGTGACCTCATGACAAACCCACCACTTCATTCTGTATAGAAACTTTCTTTTTCCTTTGGGAAAAGGTTTAGGAAAACCCTATAAATTAGAATCATTTAAACCCTTCATGCTGAATCGATACATCACAATTCTCAAATCTGATTGGTGAACATAAAACAGACTGTGTTTCAACCTCATTTTGAACAGAGAAGTCACAGACTGGCACACTGATTGGAGAACAAGCCACTGAGTTCATAGCTACAGGGGGAAATATATCAATGTTTGTGTCTGAAGCAAAGTCTCTACACATCACTTTTCCGTGTGGTGTTGAATAATTAGACTGCAAAGATTTATTAATACACTCAGCTGTACCTAACTCAATGTCTACATTTGTGTCCTTATTAGTTTGAGTCACTTCACAACTAGTAGCATTTTCACAGTCAAAACTGCAATTCAAAGTATCTTTCTTTGTTTCATGCTTGTGATCATTTATGCTACTGATGTCCTTTTGCTTATCGTAATCGTAACCATCAATATCCCTGGTTTTTTTATTCTGATTATCATTAAAGTTATCATTCGAAGATAATTTTTTTCTACTTTGCGGCATTGGTGAACAAGCCACATCATGCATAAGTTTAACCTTATTATTTCCAGAGACTATCTGGACGTGGTGCTCCGTCACTTCCTTTGGAAAAACCCATGTGGCTAAACTTGACGTAGCATCGTTGACCCGTTGTCTGAGTGCCAATTTCTCGAGAAATCTTGGCTTAGGTGTCTGAAATTTTAGTCCTAGACTCCTGGCTTCCAGAGGTTCAAAACAATTAATTTCTTTCCCATTAATATTACTATCCGTCTCTGAACAAATATTTAAATTTGGAGTCTGCACATAACTAGCAAGAAGTTCCTCTTCTGATTTTGTTGATTCAGTGAAGCTGCAATCACTGTAATTAGAGTTACCCAGTAAACTGTCCTCATTTACTGACAAATCTCCAAACTGTGACACCAACTCTTGTCTGCCATCTGTCCTAGCCGCCTCGTCAGACATACATTCTAACTGTTCACTCTCAATTTCAACTTCAATTTCAGGTTGTGAACGGAGGTCATCACTCTGGGTTTCAGTCAACATACAGATGTCAGTTAGAGTTGGCTTCAATTCTTCAACACCAAGCTTTTCATTACTTGAAATGTCTGTTTTCTAAATAAACAGCAAAATCAAATGGATATTAAATTAATTTATTTGTAAAAAAAAAAAAGATACTTAAATATACATCAATGAGGTATAAGAGAAATATCACAATTTTTTAAACTAAATGCAACTTATAACTTCAGTTAATGGACACCTGCATAATTGAGATAACTTTCCCCTTACCACATACAGTAGAGCAAAAATGTTTAAATACTGAGTTCCAATCAATGAATCGAGGCCACCTGTGTATGACAAAAGAAATAGGTTAGTATTTCCACTGGTTGAAATACAAAAGATCTAATTACTTTATGGCGACATGGCCAAGTGGGTATCACGTCGGTCCAGTAATCTAAGGATCCCTGTCCATGTGGCTTCAAACCCCATCAGGGGCCAACCGTTGTTTCCTTGAGCAAGAAACTTTACACATATTGCTCAGTACTGGTTGGTTCCAGGAATGTATTTGATTGAGAGTGTGTCTATAAGCTTTAAGCTTCCTGCATAATCAAACTAAAATAAATTCTGTGAAAACCAAATCTAATTGCTACAATTTCTATAATTATGAAATGAGCCGCGTCACGACAAAACCAATATAATGGGTTTGCGACCAGCATGGATCCAGACCAGCCTGCGCATCCGCGCAGTCTGATCAGGATCCATGCTGTTCGCTATCATTTTCTCTACTTGTTATAGGGTTTGTAAGCGAACAGCATGGATCCTGATCAGACTGCGCGGATGCGCAGGCTGGTCTGGATCCATACTGGTCGCAAACTCATTATGTTGGTTTTAGCGTGACGGGCTCAAATCTACTTGCTACAATTTCTATAATTATGAAATATGTGTTAACCTCATCATTCAGATCCTGGACACACTGATCAAGAACCTTGGTAACAAACTCTTCCACATTTTCTTCAAATATTTCATCCATTCTGTGAGACGATGAACAAGAATCTGCACTCTTTCCCATCTAAATAAAAAAAAATCTCTGTTATTTTAATATCATAACTGTTAATGAAGTCGTATAGGGAGAATATATAAACACACCCTACATCTAAGGGAGGTAATACAGTGCTACAGTTACATAAATCATATACTACACGAATCTGGTAACTTGCTTCTTTAAACTTTGAGAATTCTTTTAATTATGATTCAATTCCAATAAAATTTTCAGAAAATGTTACATGTGAAATCCTGATTGCCGACCAGATGTTTTACGCTTGAGCGCATTCACGATTGTAACAGATAAGAATAGGAAACAGTGCTAAATCCAAGCCTGAATTACAGGTATTTGCAATACATTGTTAAAGTATCAGCTGTTTTAATCTTGTTAATAAAATGGAAGTCTGTAGTTATTTAAATTATAATATCTCAATCACATTTACCTTATACTAAATCTAATTTTCCCAAAAAAATATCATACATTTATGGAAAATGTTTACTCAAAATAATAACCACAAAGTTATGTCATTAACCCATTACCCGATATACACACCTTTATTGTTATGATATTTGAATATATTACAAAACTTGTTTAAACATGAGATGGAACAATTGACTATACTCACTCTTGTTCTGTCAGTCATCACATTTTCTTTATCAGCTTTCTTTAACAATGATGATGGCTTCAATTTCCTGCTTTGTAAAAAAAGAGAAGAAAGTTTAACATACTGAGTCAGTCGTAATATAAAGAGACTTTTCTGTAATTTGTCACAATAAGCATAGATGAGAGATAATTTACACAATTCTGTTATTACTTACAAAGAGAAAATATTAAACTTCACAAGTTTAGAATATATGAGTCGTGCCATGACAAAACCAACATAATGGGGTTGCGACCAGCATTGATCCAGATAAGCCTGCGCATCCGCGCAGTCTGATCAGGATCCATGCTGTTTGCTATCAGTTTCTCTACTTGTTATAGGATTTGTAAGCGAACAACATGGATCCTGATCAGACTGCGCAGGCTGGTCTGGATCAATGCTGGTCGCAAACCCATTTTATCACACACCCGTGCCGATTTTGCGACTCCGTAAATATGGTATTGCACGACCGTGCATATATTTTGACGTGACGTCATTAGCGTTATACAAACATAGTGTAAAGACGCGCTAAATGTTAGCGTTATACTATAGGCGCGTCAATGAAAAATGACTCTTATTTCACTTTAAACGGTCTTTATTTTGGGTATGTGATAAATAGAATATTAAATTCGTGTAAATTCATTACTGAATTTATTGCACTCGTTGAATAAAATAATATTACGCTCGCCAGAGGCTCGCATAATATAATTCTATTCAACTCGTGCAATAAATTCAGTATTGAACTTACACTCATTCAATATCCTCTATATGTTGGTTTTGTCATGACGCGGCTCATATATTAACTTTAAACCGGTAGACAGAAGTAAGGGATTGTTCAACTATGGGTAAATATGATTTGTGCACATTAAATTTTCTATGGAATTGTCCATATCGTGACAGTGGATATTTCTTACATATAAAAGTGAACATTCATTGCTTGAATGATACATAAAAATTCAATAGTCTACAAGACTGAATAACTTTAAAGCAGCTCAATTTCGATTTTCATATTATAATTTTATTACTTTGATACTAAAAACCTTCGGACAAGACATCAAAATTACAATTCATTACTCAAAGTCAAAAGGTATTAATGATTAAAATCTAAATCATTTCTTAATTACAACTTAGAAATTAATATAGAATTGTGCTAAACAAAAGTAAGTTTGTTAAAACCTGTGTAAGTTTGTTGGTCGAGGGGTCCCCAATGGTGTACTGGTCTTTATATTCACACTGTCTTTGGGTCTAGCCACCTGTTTAATATCAGTGAGGGGCTTTCTAGGAGTGGATGTACTCATGTTGAAGACTTTAAGGGGCTCTCTTATTATAGAAGCAGGCAGTGAGAGTACTTTCACAGCATCCTGAAATAACGGCAAATTTACATCATATTCAAAATGTAAAATTCTTATATGATTTTTCCAAGTTTTAGTTCAAATATTCAAATTTATGATGCTTTACGCATTTAGCAATATTTGCTTATTAATAAATTGAATTTTCTGGTATGTTGGTAAGAAAACTATAGAAAATTAAAACATTGTAATGTAAAACAAAAAATTACTAAATCATCAGTATATCACTATATGTTACTATAAATTTACAAGGAAAAAAAAAGAGTACCATTATTTTCATTGATACAATGCCAAATTCCAAGGTAATATAACTCACTATTTAAAAATATGAAGTTAATACTTAAAGTTAAAGCTTACACTATCATTTTGTAATGGCAAATTTTCCTTTATGTGCAAATCTTCCATGCTCTGAAACGACAATAATCATTATAATGTTGGTCTTATAAGCAAAAAGTTGACAAAATTCAAGTAAAAGAGAGTAGGTTGAGAGGAGGTTGTGACAAATGTCTAAATTGAGATTTAAGAAATAATATATCCCAAACTGTGATCAGGTGATTTTATCGGATTTTACTATGTCCCAGGATTTTATAATGGGTAAAAATGACAAGCGTATTGCGAGTTGATTTTATGAAGGGTCAAACAAGTGCATTTCAGAATGTACACGGGTTAAGACCCGAGACTCCGGTCAAACAAACACTCTGTTAATCAGATTCTAAGTGTTTGTTTTCCTGAATTTTGATGTAAAATTTGATGTAGATTTGAATCTTAATAAATTACATCCTCTATGTGTGCATTAAAACAGTTGTGTGGGGGGCAGGAGCTCCAATAAGCATGTGCTTATACTGCATCTAAACGGTGCATTAAATTTTGGATAAGATTATTAAATCTACCTAGACATAGATATACTAGACTCTGCTATGAAATGCTTGTATATTTTGATAATTTAGGATACCACAATTGGGCTAGTGATGTAAGACAAAATTTATATGAAAATGGTTTGGCTATGTGTGGGGGAAGTCAAAATGTTGTAAACCCCAAAATGTTTTTAATTCAATATGTTCAGAAATTAAAAAGATCAGGCAATGCAATGTTGGTCTGCTAGATGTGCTGAAACAAGTAAATTGTGTCATTATATAAATTTAAGCAGTGTTTTGGGACTGAAAAATATATTAAAGTTATAGATTTTGATAAATTTAGAAAATGTTCTAGCAAATTTCCGTTGTTCATCACATAACCTTATGATTGAAAAAGGAAGGCATTTTAACATTGACAAAGAATATCGTGTTTGCATTTACTGTGAAACTACTATTGAAAACGAATTTCATTTTATGATTGTATGTCCTTTATATGCTAATCTTCGTTCAAAATATTTGCCAGATTATTATTTTCGTTATCCAAATATACAAAAATTTTATGATTTAATGTCAAGTGAAAATGTAGATATAATACGAAATGTATCAATGTACATTTATTATTCTTTTAAAGAGAGAGAAGAATTTATCAGTATGTCTGAATAGTGTATATGTACACACATAATTAATAAGTTTTTTAAATATCATATTGTACAGTCTGATCATAACCACATGCAATGTATGTATTATATAGATTTCGAGACGTTTCGGCCCCAAGACGTATCGGCCCCAAACTACCCAAGACGATTCGGCCCCGGACGTTTCGGCCCTTTACCAAATCGGCCCCAGAATAAGTACTGTATTTTAAACCTAAATATTAATAGCATTTCAATTAAAAAAATAATTTATATATATATTTAATCATTTTGTATAAAAACTAGATTATTGTAGTAGTAGGGGAAAAGTAAGCAATACAAACAAACAGAAACATAAACTTTATTTGAAAAAATATAATTACACACAAACAAACAATTATTAACCATATATAGATAATATTTTATTTGAATGATTAAGAAGCAAGACACAAAACAATACCGCCAATTAGCATATAAGTTATAAACAGTTAATTAGTTACACTTACGTATAGTTTAATTAAGATCAAAAGAGAATGTTTTCTAAGGGAAAAATTGTAAGTAACTTTTTTAATCCAGAAGTTTAAGTGGTTTGTTTTATAAGTAAGTAACCGGCCTTTATTGTTTGTTACACCTTTAAAAACATTAACTTATATCTAAATCGTTCAAGAGATCAAAAGATAATAAATAATTATTCAAAGAATTAAAGTTTCATAATTGTTTAATTGTAATTCAATTTAATACACTTGTTACTATATATAGTAACAAAATTGCCTATGATTTCAACTGATTATGAGTGTCACGTGACCTATTATGAGTTTGCGGCCCGGGGCAGAGAACTAGTTATCAGCCCGCAGAACATGTGCACGTGCACAAACTGAAACAATGACGTCACATTTTACGTCATCAAACAGTTAACTTTGTAAAAGTGAAAGTAGGTTGTCAGCACGAATCGCTTTATTTTTATTATGAGACCTTAAGCGTATTTTTAGTACAAACACATTTTTGTTTACTTTTGAAATTTGAAGAAATAATACGACAAATTCATTCCGAAAAAAAATGAAAATAAAAATTGCTTCTTGGTTCTACGTACTGCTTTGAAACACACAAACAGAAAACATCTCTGTACAGAACAGTAGAAGAGTAGACAAGAATTTCAACGAAAGAACTTCAAAGTCTATTTGTTTTGATTATGTTTTTGTTATTTTTTTTTAAAAGCTACTATTAGATCTACCAGTGTATTAAAGACATTAATACACGTCAGCGTAGGGCCGGAAGGTGATAATCGGCCTGAATGAATAATGGCCCTCGGGGGCTAAAGCCCTCGGGTTCCATTATTCGAATTTTGCGGGCCGATTATCACCTTCCGGCCCTCTCCTGCCGTGTATTAACCTCTTATTATTGTTGTTGATCAATCAAGCAATACACTATAGTGGGGCCGAAACGTCTCGCGGAAAAGGGCCGAAACGTCCAGGGGCCGATTTTTCGACTGGGGCCGATTTGGTTTGGGGCCGAAACGTCCTGTTTGCATTATATATGTGATGTTGTATAAATTGTGTTTGGGCCGGAGGCCATATATACAAATAAACGAATTGAATTGAATTGAATTGTTTTAGATGTGGGCTAATATTGTTTATCTTCCAGGAACCGCTAAACTAGATGTGTTCCAATTTTATGTCGTGCTAGTACGAAAATTAATGGTACGAAACAAGGATGTAGAGATAATCAAAACAAAAACATGTTTGTCTAGCATTTTTTTTAATAAATGTAACTTCTTTAACTAAGTGTATTATAACAAAAAAACACTGAAAATCGGAAGTAAGATAAGTTCTGGCAAATGATACCTACTGATCCATGTTATTTACCAAATTTCCATACTTTAAACAGGGAGCGAATTTACAGCTTTTTCATTGGTCAAAAATATTTTGACATTACAATGCCGAAATTTAACGGAAAAAGTCTTTTTTCACGGAAGGTACGGTGCATCTTCATTGTTCATTGAACGCCGCCTTTCCTTGTTGATCTTGTTTATCATATTTTATTAAATCTCCCGCGTCAGAGAGTTTAAACCTGGAAAATGGAAAATCCCCTGAAAATTATGAAATTAAAGAATGTGCTATTCGTTTTTGTTATCTTGTCTAGAATAGAATAGAATAGAATAGAATAAAGTTTATTTCCAATTAATGGGTCACATTCACGACATATAAATCAACATCTACATAATGAGCAAATAAATATATCACATAAAAATAAGTGCATTAAAGTAAATAAAGTTTGATACGATTATATTAAAAACAATTATCGTATAAGTACCTAATCTCACACCCAACCTATTCTCAAACCTTTCATTCATGTGCTGTTATTTTTTTACTAGAAGTGACTATGATGTCCTGAACTTGTGTGCATAAAAGCTTAGTTTCTGACAGACATGTCTGCTGAATGTCAAATAGAATACAGTGCATAGGACAAACAAATATTTACATAACATATTTTATTACTTAGCGTAATTTTCATACAAATTGCTATTACCTTTGTAAGTCCCCATAAATCACCATTAACTATTTGTGAAAATGAATATTATAGACAAAAATATCTTTAAAGCAGGTAACTGCATCGTGTAGGGTACTTCATTGTCATGTGATAGTCGTACAACAATCACTTTGTTGGCTTAATTAAACAGTAGAATTTTAGAGATACTTGAAGGGGTTTGAGATTAGGTTCTTTTTTTTAAGAGGCCATGTTAGTTTTAAAACAGAGGGTTGTGCTTTTCCATAATGGAAATAGAGCTTTTTTAATAGTTGAATTTCAGTCAAATTTTACAGAAATGTTACATAAAGATTAAAGTGTATATATGTAAAGAATTTTTATAAAGATATATTTTTATCTACATTAAAAGACCTCTTGAATGCTTAGAGGTTTGAGAACTGGTTAGTCCAGGATAACTAAAGGTATCAGACCCAGTAATCCTGTGATCTTCATTTATTTATTCATTTATTATCATCACTTATTTTTTTTAATTTCAGTATTAGACTTGATTTCATAAATGGAGTTCATGATATGTGTTTTAAATAATTATAATTTAAGAAGTGAGTGACGCAATTAAGGACGAGCTACCTGTGTTAAAGTTAATAGTCCTTTAAAAGTTTATGTGAAGGTTTCTTGATAAGTTAAGCGGTCTATATGGTGACTCCAAGTTATAGTAGAATAGAATAACTTTTATTTCCAATCAAGGGTTATGTTAAAGGACATGTCAATCATAATAATAATAACGAGATCAAAGATCAAATAAAGACATTAAAAAAACTAATATAAAACTTGATTTGTATTATAGTAACAACAATGAACTTAAAGAAAAACAAAACAAACAAAATAAATGACAGAGTTTCGCTAACTAGACTTATCTTAACTATTAAACATCACAATTAAATATACATGTATATATGAATAAATAATGATTGTGGCATTATATTTTAGTATTCTTTTGAATAACATTCAAGTTACACAAAATGTTAGCTTATACCCGTAGTGTAACTACACTGTACAATACACATGTACCTCAAAAATACAAATACTAAGTTAAATCAATTCATGTTTTCTCATAATTATTTCTGAGTTTATAACAAGTAAAAATATAATCTACAAAATGTTTTATGATTATTTCATCTTCGTTGCTCATTTTCCAAATGAATTTGCTTTTTTCAGACATTTTTTTTTCTCTCAAAGTTTAAATTCTTATCTTTTATTTCATTATATTAAATGCTGCGTTGACTTGTAAAAGCATTGCAAGCAGTAACAAATGTAGCTCGTTTTTAACTTCAGTTGAGTTGCATACTTCGCAAATTCTTTCATCAGACTTATTATTTTTAATCTCCATCATTATCTATCGCATTTTTCAATTTATCCATAAATCGTATTTTAAAAAGTACTCAACAGCTGTTTCCTTACAACAACATATAGATACTTATCACTATATTTACTTTCAGGTATTTTTAAACATTGTAATATCAAGAATACATGGGATAACCAACTGTTATTTTTACAATTGTACAACTTTTCACTTTCAACATAAGCATTTTTTTAAAAGTTCACTAACTGGAGACTTGCTTAACCTTGTATAATACTTAATAAAACTGATTATGCAATCAAAATATAAAGGAAATTTCCTTAATTTACCTAAAACAGCATCATTGCATGTTTTTTGTGAACCTCTAACACATGTTTTAGGACTTTTGGATGTAGTTTTTCAATGGCATGTCATTAAAGCATTGAAATAGACAAAAGCCCTCTACTGCTCGTTGTATTCAAAGTACCCCAGATTTCATTAGCATAAAGTAATACAGTTTAACAGTATTGTCAAACAAATGCAATGAAGTATAAACATTAGTATTCAAATTACTGCAAGCTTTGCCTAATTTAAAATTTGCTTTTAATGCATTTTATACAAATCTTTTTTACACTCAGTAAAACTACCTGAAGATGAAAATAGTATTCCAAGATATTTATATCTCGAAACATGATTTACCTCAACATCATTATACATATACTTAAAACTGGATAGTCTTCCACTTTTGCTAAATGTCAATATAATTATTAGTCTTCTTTAGGTTTTCCTTGTTGATCTTGTTTATCATATTTTACAGACAGTCCAACACTTTCACTGAATAAATATAGTGTACCAAGACACCTTTGTAGACCTTTCTCACTGCTAGAAAAAAGAACTACATCATCTGCATAAAGTAAGCAATTAAGGGGAATGGCACCAAGCATAACTGGATCATCTTCATTACAAAAGCAGGATGTTAAATCATTGATAACCAATTTAGATAGGTTTGGACTCAGGTTATCGCATTGTCTTAAACCTTTCTTAATTAGAACCCGTAGCTAGGATATTGTACTTTTTAAAAATCTTGTGCTTATTTGTCTGACCTTTTGTACTGTTGGGCCAAATACATACCTTGTGAGACCCAGCTAATGACCGTACAATGTGTCCTGTTTGCTAGGACAGCCTTAAATCGTGTATTTGTTCCCTCTCTCACACAATATATAATATATATATAGTGCTAAATTATGTTAAGGAATCGGGGATTTGAAACCAGTTATAGGCGCACGAAAAGTCTAGGTCCATTAAGTCATGTTGTTTCCCTTTGTTGAGGTCAGACTTCAGCTATTTTGTCAAACGTTTAGTTGAGTTTCGTAGAGTTGGTGGTATTGGTAGTTTTTTCTCCGGATCACAGCAGTAAACCACATTGAATTCAATAGAGCAAAGTTCAACCACCGCATCGTTCCTGGGCAGGCTTTCAAAGATGTTTAAGCTGAGGGTCTTATAAAGTCTTATAGGTAGTTTCTCTGACCATTTTTATTTGGGGTCTACGGTCGTCCATTCTTAATGTTTAGTATAGGTATCTCATACCGGTCATGTAGACTCGCTGTCTTTGGCATTCCATTCAAGTGTAGTACCTGCATCTGCAACATGAGTTTAACACTGTTTCAAGAGATGAAAATGTTGACTGTGTGAACATGGTTATTAATCCCACCAACGGCCTCGATGAGTCTGTAGACATTCGACCAAAACCTCCGCCAGTTGTACCAAAATTTGTCACAGATAATGTCTTCGAGGGCAGTGTTTGTGTTCCAACTTAATTATCCTGAACCAAAGACTTAGATTATGGAAGACACTGCTGACTTTGGGTCACTCTCCATATCCATTATAGAAGATTAACCTGTCACGTATACACAAGGTGTTCCAATTATTGTTCCATAAGGCACAAATATCCCGAGTATGAAGCCAGAAAATCTGCATAAACTTGAATATCATTGCCGACGTCTTACTCAGCAATTAAGATACAAATCGGTAATGTTGCTAAAGCCTAAGAAGACAAGGAGCAGTAGCGGAGTAATCAACATGGTGGTGCAACATATACGAGTATGTTTTTACAGTATCAGTGTACGTAGATTGTAAATGATATATCTACTGGTGAATATAAGTGCAGCTGTAAATAGGTATAGTGATATTCGGTGGAGGATTATTAGATACACTATGTTAACCACACAGTGGTTCGCCTACATAGACGATGAAGATTAACAACAACAACAACATGGCATTAAAATGTAACAATAACCTTGAAAATATAATCTTCTTTTTTTTTAAATGTTAGTCTACTCAAAATTCAAAAACATACTTAGAATTACGGAACACAATCATCCAGTTCTTTCCTTTCCTATTTCGGGAAAAACGATACATTTCACTCTTTATTACCAACGTCACGTGATCATAACATTGAGACAAAATGGAGGCAACATTTCGGAGAACGATGACTTCGGTCACAGATACTCTGTTTCCCGTGTCAAAATCAGCTAAAGACCCTCAAAAACATCAAATTTTAAAAGCAGGTCAAGGATTTCATTAATTTAATTATTTGTCAATGTTAATGTTGTCCATGTTATGCTGCAGTTCTTTTCGTGCAAGTTTGGTCTTGTGTTTTGAAAAAAATTCGCTCCATGGATAATTCGTAACAAATGAAGAAAGAAAAAAAAATGATGAACTTATTCAAATATGATGTACTCTATTTTATTGAACAAACAAAGATTTATGATAAGTAATATAAAAATGTCAATAATAAACAAATGGTCTTGTATCAAGAAATAACTTATGATTTATGAAATTAGGCAAAGCCTCCCGAATGGGGAAGTTGGTTAAGAAATCATTCATCTTTTTCTGTTTTAAAGGTGTCATTCAGTATTTCATGCACCGCTTCTGGATCTGTTTTCACTCTGATTACTCAATGATTATTAATATATAATATGAATTTAGGCAAAGCCTATGAACGGAGAAGTCGTTAAAAATTCCTTTCATTTTTTTCCATTTTAAAGGTGTCATTCGGTATTTCATGCATCACTTCCCTTTTCAATCGGAACACTCAACTTTTAAAATTTATCCGAAAA